GGCACAAGGTCCTGCTGGAGCGTTGATTGGCTCAGCCCAGGTCACCGGCCTGGACCATTGCTGCAAGGGATTCTGGGAAATTGAGTTTCTGGCATCTTTGGCTTCTCCAAGGGAGGCGGGCTTACAGTGGGGAATCCCCAAACATAGAAAGGGCTTCTGGCACTGTGTGGCTAAAAAGAATGTGAAATGGGCCGGGCAGGGTGCCTCACGCCTGTAATCGCAGTACTTTGAGAGGCCGAGGCGGGTGGATCACCTGAGATAGGAGTTCGAGACCAGCCTGGCCAACATGGCGAAACCCCTTCTCTACTAAAAATACAAAAATTAGCCGGGCGTGGTGGCGCATGCCTGTAGTCCCAGCTACTCCGGAGGCTGAGGCAGGAGAATTGCCTTGAACCCGGGAGGCAGAAGTTGCAGTGAGCCGAGATGCGCCACTGCACTACACGCTGGATGACAGAGCAAGACTTCGTCTCAATAATAAATAAATAAATCGGCCGTGCGCGGTGGCTCACGCCTGTAATCGCAGCACTTTGGGAGACCGAGGCAGGCGAATCACGAGGTCAGGAGATCGAGCCATCCTGGGCTAATACGGTGAAAACCCCGTCTCTACAAAAACTACAAAAAAAAAAAAAAAAAAATAGCCGGCGTGTGGTGGGCGGGCACCCTGTATTCCCAGCTACTCGGAGCGCCTGAGGCAGGAGAATGGCATGAACCCAGGAGCGCGGCTTTTGCAGTGAGCGAGATGGCGCCACTGCCTCCCAGGCCTGGGCGACAGAAACTAGACTTCTGTCTCAAAATAAAAAAAAAATCAAACCTTCCCACAGGGTTGTGGCTGGGCTGTGCACCCAAAATGTGTGGTGGCATGGATCCAGTCTCTTCCCTGCTTATGACCCTCAGTGTCTCCAGTCAATCTCACAGTGGGATGATGATGATGATTTTTTCCATTTAATATTTTAAAAAATTATTCTAAAAAAATTTTTGTGGGTATTTAGTAGGTGTGTATATTTATGGGGTACATGAAGTGTTTTGATCCAGGCATGCAACTTGTAATAATCACATCATGGAGAATGGGGTATCCATCTTCTCAAACATTTACCCTTTGTATTACAAACAATCCGATTATACTCCTTTAGTTATTTTATTTTAATTAATTAAGTTTTGCGTGCGTGAGACAGGGTCTCACTCTCATGCCCAGGTTGGAGTGTAGCAGTGGCTCGATCACAGCTCACTGCAGCCTCAACTACCTGGGTTCGAGCAATCCTCCTACCTCAGCCTCCTGAGTAGCTGGGACCACAGGTGCACTCCACTACGCCCAGCTAATTTTTGTAGTTTTTTGTATTTTTTGCAGAGACAGGGTTTAGCTATGTTGCCAAGGCTGGTCTCAAACTCCTAGGCTCAAGGAATGCTTCCTCCTTGGCTTCCCAAAGTGCTGGGATTGCAGGTGTGAGCCACCGCACCCGGCCTATTACCCTTCCCAGCCTCTGGTGTCCATCTTTCTGCTCTGTCTCCCTGAGTTCAATTGTTTGAATTTTATTTTATTTATTTTATCTTTTTTTTGACACAGTCTCACTCTGTCACCAAGGCTGGAGTACAGCGGCACGATCACAGCTCACTGCAGCCTCACTTCCCCAGGCTCAAGTGATCCTCCCATCTCAGCCTCCTGAGTAGCTGCAACTACAGATGTGTACCACCATGTCCAACTAATTTTTATATTTTTAGTAGAGACAGGGTTTCACCATGTTGGCCAGGCTGGTCTTGAACTCCTGAGCTCAAGCAATCCTCCTGCCTCAGCCTCCTTGTTTTGATTTTTAGATCCCACAAATAACATGTGATGTTTGTCTTTTTATGCCTGGTTCATTGAACATTTTCTTTTTCTTTCTTTCTTTCTTTTTTTTTTTTTGCAATGGCGCCATCTCAGCTCACTGCAACCTCTGCCTCCTAGGTTCAAGCAATTCTTATGCCTCAGCCTCCCAACTAGCTCGGATTACAGGCATGTGCCACCACACCCGGCTAACTTTTGTATTTTTAGTAGAGATGGGGTTTCACCATGTTGGCCAGGCTGGTCTTGAACTCCTGGCTTCAAGTGATCCGCCCTCCTCTGCCTCTGCCTCCCAAAGTACTGGGATTTCTAAGGGCCTGAGCCCGGCCCATCTAACATTATCACTGTCAATCACAATGGGATTAAAACTCCTCCCACAGCCCCTAGGGCATGATGGGTCTCCTCCTGGCCCCCCTCCAACCTCATCTTCTTCCTCCCACTCTCTCCTTGGCCCCATCTGCTCCAGCCCCCTGGCCTCCTTCCTGTCTGTCCTCAGATGAGTCCAGCCATTCTCACCTCAGCGCCTTTGCACCTGCTGTTCCCCCCAGATCCACACATGGCTGGCTCCCTGCTCTCCTTCAGGTCTCTGCTCAGATGTCACCTTCCCAAAGAGGCCTGCCTCGACCTCCCCTGCTGCTGTGCTGTTCCCTCATCTGTGACCCTCTTGAAATATCACCTCCAGGAGGGTAGGGGTTTTGTGTTTTATTGTAGCCTCAGGAAGTGCCTGATCGATTATTGTTTTGAGACCAGTTCCACTTAGTTTTCTGGGCCTCAGTTTCCATAACCATGAAGGAGACCCTCGCCGATCTGAGCTTGCTGGGAAAGGGCTGGGCCCCGTGTAACATTTCTAAAGCACCCCTCTCCCCTCCTCCCTCAGATCAGGAGTCTGGGGGAGAGGCAGAGAGGCTCCCTTTCTCTAAGCCAGTCCTCACCTGCCTAAGAAGATACAAAGGAGACCCAGGAGACCCTGGGAGAGGGAGGAACCCGGAAGGAAGGGACATTCTTTTCTTCACAATCCTGGGAGCTCCCTGGAGGAGGAGACCCGATCAGCCTGCAATCTTGGCGCGTCCCAGGAGGAGAAAGCGGCTTCCTCTATACTGTACCCGCCTCCATAGAACCTCCTCCTCAGCCCTGGAAGTCCTTGGTCACAGCCGAGGCACCCAGAGTGCTTGCTATGCCCAGATCTGCGCGAGTCTGGCACTGGCGCTCTGAACCGCATCGCTGCCCAGCCCCCTTCCCCGGGAGGTGGGAGCAGCCACCCAGGGCCCCGTGGCTGCCCTTGTAAGGAGGTGAGGCCCAGGGACACCCGAGACGCCCGGTTATAATTAACCAGGACACGTGGCAAAGCCCCCTCCAACACCTGCCCCCGAACCCCCCCATACCCAGCGCCTCGGGTCTCGGCCTTTGCCGGGAGGAGACAGCAAAGCGCCCTCTAAAAATAACTCCTTTCCTAGCGGCCGAGACCCTCCCTGTCCCCCGCACAGCAGAAATCTCCCAGTGGCACCGAGAGTGCAAGGGTTAAGCGGGGGGAGGGTGACCACCGCCTCCCACCCTTGCCCTGAGTTTGAATCTCTCCAACTCAGCCAGCCTCAGTTTCCCCTCCACTCAGTCCCTAGGAGGAAGGGGCACCCAAGCGCAGGTTTCTGGGGTTAGACTGCCCTCTATTGCAATTAGGCTTGGTCAGACCCTCCCTATAGGTGGTGGCAGCAGGCGGCCACGCAGCCTCTCCCGGCCTCTGCTTCCTCCTGCTCACAGGGTCCCGGGTCCTCCTGGAGCAACAGCATGGCTCCCCGAGGTGCCGCTGGGACTCGGGTAGGGGTGAGGGCCCAGGGGGCACAGGAGGAGCCGAGGGCCACAGGAGGGGCTGGTGGCTGGAGGAGACTCAGGGGCCAGGGGAGGGTGGCTTCTACGTGCTTGGGACGTTCCCAGCCACTGTCCCATGTTCCCGGCGGGGGGCCAGCTGTCCCCACCGCCAGCCCGACTCAGCACTTGGTCAGGGTATCAGCTTGGTGGGGGGGCTTGGGCCCAGCCCCTGGGGCAGCTCAGCCCATACAAGGCCATGGGGCTGGGCGCAAGGCATGCCTGGGTTCAGGGTGGGCATGGTGCCCGAGCAGGGAGGTGAGAGGCTTAGCTGCCCTCCAGAACTCCTCCCTGGGGACAGCCCCTCCCAGCCAATTGCACAGCCTAGGTCCCCCTATATAACCCCACGGCTGCAGGCCCTTCCTTTGGGTCAGTGTCACCTCCAGGATACAGACAGCCCCCTTCAGCCCAGCCCAGCCAGGTACTGCACGGGGTGGGAATCTGGGTGGGAGCCAGAGTAGGGGGTTTCTGTGGGTGCTAGAGGCTGTCTTGGCTTGGGAAAGGGCCTGTGTGTCACCCCTTGCTCCACCAACATCCTCCTATACAAAGGCAGGTCAGTGCGTGGGAAGGTTGACCTTGTGTGTCTGGGAGTCCCCTCCATCTGTGAGGACGCCTGAACCCCGGCTGGGACCTGTGATTTCTGCGGCACAAGTCTTGGGTTATGGGGAAGGATCCCAGAAATGAAAGGGGTCCTGACAGCTGCCAACTGTCACCCCCTGCAAGGGGCTGTTGAGCCAGGCCCGCGTTCATTACGGTTTGTCACCAACACTGGCGCCACAAGCCGTGGGAGGTGTGTCTGTCGCCTAGCAGAGTCTGCAAGAGCAGGTGTCACGGGCTTCTTTGCGTTTGCTACCGTGTAGGTCTCTGTGACCTTGCACTGACTTGGTATCGGACACATGAGTGCCTCTATCTTGGGCGTGTCCTTGAGCTTGGAAGTGTGGCTGCGTGACTCAGTTTACAGTGTGATCTGGGGAGTCTGTGGTGGTGGGGGTGTGTGGCTCCGGGGCTTTCTGCTTATGTCTCTTGGGGGGGGGTCCCCCACCTTGCCTCCGTGCCCTCTCCTGGCGTGTCCCTGGCAGGGATTGGGGGGGCATCCTCTGAAGGGAGGGGGTCTGGGCTGCCAGCTCGGGATGTCCTTGAGTCCCGGAGCCGAACCCCGGGGCCTGGACCCGTGTCCTCCCAGCCACCCTGGCCCACCTGTCTTGGGCCTGCTGACTTGGTGCAAGCCGAGCCCCGGAATGTGGGGGTGGGGAGGGGCAGCAGCTGGGGGTGGGGCGGCAGGCAATTGCCAGAGTCTAAAAATAACCACCCTGGATAGCAGTGCCCAAGGTCTTTGGCGGGTCCCTGTTCCTCTTCCCTGGCCTCAGCTCACCATGGTCCCAATTTCCCTCCCACAATCCCACCTGCTTCCTATCCCCCTCTCCCACTGCTATTGGAGGTCCCTTCTCCTTTCTGGGTCCAGTGAATAAAATAATAATAACAATAGGACCTGGCGCAGTGGATCACATGCATAATCCCAGCATTTTGGGAGGCCAATGCTGGAGATCACTTGAGGCCAGGAATCCCAGACCAACCTGGGCAACATAGTGAGACCTCATCTCTACAAAAAAAAAGTAGTAATAATAATAATAGCAGCTACCAGGGTTTCAGGCTCCAACTCCATGCCAGGGCCTGTGCTCAGCCAACCTCATGGCCAAGCTCAGAGGATCCTGGCAATCCTATGGGGTAGGCTCAGTTCACAGGAGACAAGGTCCAGAGAGGCCTAGTGACTGGCCTGGGGTCATACAGCAGGAAAATGGCATAGGTGGGATTTGAACCTGGCTCTGACGACCCAGAGGCTGAGTTTTTCTTCCCTGCTGAACCTTGTGGGAGAATTGTCAGCAGGCAGAGGTGGGGGCGGCCACCCAGCCCTCCCCCGACCCAGCCCCTTTGTCTTTGGATTGATCATCCAAGAACTGCTCACATACTCACTCCCAGCAACACCCTCACCTCCACCTTCTCACCAGCTCCTCACAAGAACGTTTAAAATAACAACAGGCCAGGCGCGGTGACTCATGCCTATAATCCCAGCACTTTGGGAGGCAGAGGTGAGCGGATCACTTGAGGTCAGGAGTTCAAGACCAGCCTGGGCAACATGGCAAAACCCCATCTTTACTAAAAAACAAAAAAAAAAAAAAAAAAATTGCCTGGGTGTGGCGCACGCCTGTAGTTGCAGCTACTTGGGAGGCTGAAGCAGGATAATTGCTTGAACCTGGGAGGTGGAAGTTGCAGTGAACTGAGATTGCACCACTGCACTCCAGCCTGGGTGACAGAGAGAGACTCCATCTCAAACATAATAATAATAATAATAATAATAATAGCTAAGTGAAATAATGCTTATTGTGAACCAGGCACTGTTCCGAGAGCTATACCTGCATTCACACATTTAATCCTTTCAACACTGCCATGCGGCAGGTGCTGTTAGGATCCTCATTGTCCAGCTGAATAAACTGAGGCACAGAGAGGTTAAGCAACTTGCCCCCGGGCACAGAACAGTCGTAGGTAGCAGAGCTGGGAATCAAACCCTGGGCCGATTTCAGAACCTACGCTCTTACCCACGCATGATATTTTTCCAGCCTCCGCGTGGGGCCTATTTTCCACCTGGGGAAATTGAGTCTCCAAAAAGAATGACTAGTCCAGGCTCACCCAGCTGGGATGTGGCAGAGCCGGGCCCTCGATCTAAGACTCCGGATGCCTCCTGCTGAGACGCAGGGGCTGGGAGAGAGGATTTCGCTTGCTCCAAGTCACACAGCCTACCTGACCCCAATGCCTCGTTCGCTCGGTTCTCTTGCTGCTGTTTGCAAGATGTGAGGTAGGCGGGGCACAGTGGCTCATGCCTGTAATCCCAGCACTTTGGGAGGCCGAGGTGGGTGAATCACTTGAGGCCAGGAGTTTGAGACCAGCCTGGCCAACCAGTAGAGATGGTGAAACTCCATCTTACTAAAAATACAAAAAAATTAGCCAGGCATGGTGGTGTGCGCCTATAATCCCAGCTACTCAGGAGGCTGAAACAGGATAATCGCTTGAACCTGGGAGGTGGAGGTTGCAGTGAGCTGAGATCTCGCCACTGTACTCCAACCTGGGTGACAGAGTGAGACTCCTTCCCAAAAAAAAGAGCTGTGGCTCACGACTGTAATCCCAGCACTTTGGGAGGCGGAGGCAGGCAGATCATGAGGTCAGGAGATTGAGACCATCCTGGCTAACACGGTGAAACCCCGTCTCTACTAAAAATACAAAAAATTAGCCGGGCATGGTGGTGGGCGCCTGTAGTCCCAGCTACTCGGGAGGCCGAGGCAGGAGAATCACTTGAACCCGGGAGACAGAGGTTGCAATGAGCTGAGATTGCGCCACTGCACTCCAGCCTGGGTGACAGAGGGGGGCTTTGTCTCAAAAAAATAAAAATAAAAAAATAATAATAAGAAGAAAACAGATGCGAGCTAATCTTCCCCTCCTGTCCTGCCCATCAGGTCTCCTACACCGCCACCATGCCGTTCGGTAACACTCACAACAAGTTCAAGCTGAATTACAAGCCTGAGGAGGAGTACCCCGACCTCAGCAAACATAACAACCACATGGCCAAGGTACTGACCCTTGATCTCTACAAGAAGCTGCGGGACAAGGAGACCCCATCGGGCTTCACCCTAGACGATGTCATCCAGACAGGAGTGGACAACCCAGGTGAGCCTCCCCGGTAGAGCACTGAAGGGGCTACCTGGGGGCTCCAGAGGCTGCAGGCTACGCCCCATCCCACCTCCCCTGAAGTGGGAGGGGTCTCAGTTTTCTCATCTGTAAACCGGGGCTGTTGTGAGAATCAATGCACTAATATACGTAAAGGGCTTGGGACAGTGCAAGGTATGCAGCAAACCACGCAATAAACATGCACGAGAATAATGTGAGATCCCCGAGGAGGTCGGTTCATCTCCCGAACCTCAGTCTCCTCATCTGAAAAATGGGCACCCATGTTGTGAAAACACAGGTCAATGACTGTGCAGTGCTTACAGTGGCGCCTAGCACCAAGTGAGTGCTCAAGCTCTGACGGGAGACCAGGTGCAGTGGCTCATGCCTGTAATCCCAACATTTGGGGAGGCCCAGGTGGAAGGATCGCTTGAGGCCAGGAGTTTGAGACCAGCCTGGGCAACATAGCAAGACCCTGTCTCGACAAAAAATACAAAAAAATTAGCCAAGTGTGGTAATGAGGGCCTGTGGTCCAAGCTACTCAGGAGGCTGCGGTGGGAGGATAGCTTGAGCCTGGGAGGTGCAGGTTGCAGTAAACCGAGATCGCGCCACTGTACTTCAGCCACAGAGTGAGACCCTGTCTCAAAAAAAAGAGAATCAGATAGGGGATGTTATTAATGTTATGGTTGTTTCTCAAAGCCCTTTCGCTCACAAGGTGAAGAGAGCTGGGAGTGGACAGGAGGCTCTAGTGCCCCTCACGTCCAGCTCTCTGTGTGATGCAGTGGAGAGGCCTCTCTCTTCGGGTCCCTGTTTTTCCACTGGGTCTTTCAAGTCTCTGGCCTTCCTGACCCTCTGTGGCAGGTGGTACCCCAAGATCCTAACAACATTTCAGGCTGAGACGTCATGACTTTGGGTGCTAATGTTTCCGAGGTGCTGATGTTTTTAGCACCAGGTACCCTCTGAAGCTCCCCCTTCTCCTTTGACCCCACGCCCCGCATTCTTTCTTCTCTCCTACTTTGACTCCTCCCAGCCACCTTGACCTCTCCCAGTCTTCCCTCCCAGTTCCCACCAGTCCTCAGTCTTATTTCTTTTTTTTTTTCCTTTCTTTTTTTTTTGAGAAAGAGTTTGTTCTATCACCCAGGCTGGAGTGCAGTGGTGCCATCTCGGCTCACTGCAACCTCCACCCCCTTGGTTCAAGCAATTCTCATGCCTCAGCCTCCCAAGTAGCTGGGATTACAGGCGTGTGCCCCACACCCAGCTAATTTTTGTATTTTTAGTAGAGACAGGGTTCACCCTGTTGGCCAGGCTGGTCTCAAACTCCTGACCTCAAGAGATCCACCCCCCTCGGCCTCCCAAAGTGCTGAGATTGCAGGTATGAGCCACTGCGCCCAACCCTTAGTATTCTCAATTCCCACCCAGAGGTATTGAATGTACCCCACACAACCCTGACACACACATGTCCACACAGTCTCCACTGAGCCCATGAGCCCAGGTCCTGTTTGCTGGGGACTAGCAGCTCTGACCTCACCCCCACCCCTCCAGGTCACCCCTTCATCATGACTGTGGGCTGCGTGGCTGGTGATGAGGAGTCCTATGAAGTTTTCAAGGAACTCTTTGATCCCATCATCTCGGATCGCCACGGGGGCTACAAACCCACCGACAAGCACAAGACTGACCTCAACCATGAGAACCTCAAGGTCAGTGTCTGCACGGAGGGGAGGGCCGAGGGGTGAGGAGGAGAGAGATCACAGGAGAGATGGGGGGAGAGAGAAATACAGAGACATAGAGGTGTGGAGAAGCAGAGAGATGAAAGAGAGAGGGACATGGGGAGGCCGAGGCGAACATATCACTTGAGGTCAGGAGTTTAAGACCAGCCTGGCCAGCCGGGCACAGTGGCTCACACCTGTAATCCCAGCACTTTGGGAGGCCGAGGCAGGCAGATCACGAGGTCAGGAGATCAAGACCATCCTGGCTAACACGCTGAAACCCCATCTCTACTAAAAATAGAAAGAAAAAAAAAATTAGCCGGGCATGGTGGTGGGCGCCTGTAGTCCCTGCTACTCGGGAGGCTGAGGCAGGAGAATGGCATGAACCCGGAAGGCAGAGCATGCAGTGAGCGAAGGCCAAGCCACTGCACTCCAGCCTGGGTGACAGAGCGAGACTCCGTCTCAAAAAAAAAAAAAAAAAAAAACTATCCTGGCCAACATGGCAAAACTCTGTCTCAAAAAAAAAAAAAAAAAAAAAAAGAATGGGCCAGCCAGGCACGGTGGCTCACGCCTGTAATCCCAGCACTTTGGGAGGCCAAGGTGGGCAGATCACCTTAGGTTGAGAATTCGAGACCAGCCTGAACAACATGGAGAAATCCTGTCTCTACTAAAAATACAAAATTAGCTGGGTGTGCTGGTGCATGTGGTAGCACATGCCTGTGATCCCAGCTACGCGAGAGACTGAGGCAGAAGAATCGCTTGAACCTGGGAGGCGGAGGTTGCAGTGAGCAGAGATCATGCCATTGCACTCCAGCCTGGGCAACAAGGGCGAAACTTGGTCTCAAAAAACAAAACAAAAAACCAAAAAAATAAATTAGCTGGGCATGGTGGTGCACGACTGTAATCCCAGCTACTCAGGAGGTGGA